AAACCTTAAAGAAACCAACACTGAGCAGAGTCACATTCTTCAAACAAAAATGTATGCATACTGCACAGAAAGGCAGTATTATTGATTATTGAGCCCCCTCCCTACAGAGCTTCTTACACACACCAAGGCTGCTGGATCTATCATCTGGGAGTCCTGGATCAGAGTAAATCAGGGTCTACAGCAATTTAAACAAATCTGATTTTCCTTGCTGCTGCTATGTGCCGTGGAGTCGGTTCCAACTCATAGCGACCCTGTACAGGGTTTCCGAAGCTGTAAATCTTTACGGGAGCAGAAAGCCTCATCTTTCTCACATGGAACAGCTGGTAGTTTCGAACTGCTGACCTTGTGGTTCGCAGTCCGGTTCGTAACCACTACACTACCAGAGCTCCTTTATGAACTGCTAATTTGGTGAAGAGTTATAACCCCACCAATTTCTCAAGGCTCCGAACCAATTCTAAGCCCACTTACACATGGCCATTAAATCAATTCAGACTCATGGTGACCTTACATAGGGTTTCCTACATGGGAGCAGACAGCCTCCCTCTGAGTAGCTGGTGGGTTTGAACTGCTAACCATTTGATTAGCATTCAATGCTTACCCCAGAGTGCCACCGGAGGAGTTCCTTCCCATCCTAAACACAGCTCCTTAAATAGACAGTCTACCCCTCAGTGAGATATTTAAGAACCAAATATATGGAAGGGAATTTTTTTTTAAGTTAAAACTCTGGAATTAAGGGGTCTTTTTTAAAAAAACTTAAAACACAATCAGATTTCTCATTTCCAGAACAGCGCTTCCACCTGACACGTGATCCCCTTTGAACAACGGGCAATGCATCTGGGGTCACAGCTGCAAAATGCGGGGTGGGGAGGTGGGAATTCCACCTCTCCACCAAATCCTGGTGTGGTGCCATAGGATAAGCACTGGACTGCTAAGAGCAACGTTGGTGGTTCAAACACACCAGCTGCTCTATACAGGAATGCTTTGAGTGGAAACCGACCCTAGGGCACTTTAACATCAACCAAGGCCTGTGGTCAGCCCTGATTCCTTGTGGACTGTAGGCACTATGCACGTTAAACAGAGGATCAGAGTCAACACTTTGTTTATATTCTGCCTTGTCATCACCCTAGTTGATTTTCTGCTCACTTTTTTTCGTCTAACAAGACTCCGAGCGCTTTAAAGGAGAAAACAATTTATGAAACGAAAGGTCTTGTTCCCCCAGCGTATTACCCAAAGATACAATTCCACGCTCTAGTGGCTCAGCCTCATCTTTACAACACCTTCCCCGAAGAAAAAAATCCTAAGGGTCTCCCAAGATCCCACCTAAGTTGTCACCACTGTAGCTCCGGCTGGAACAACGTGTCTCGCACTGCCGCTGCTGTCTCACCGCCTAGCGTGGTCGCAGCTGCAGTCACCTGCAGCAGCAGGGCGATGGCACACACTATTTTTTCCAGCACGTTTCCTTCTGCCGTTTCATCTCAGGTAGAAAATGAACCTTCTATTTTAATCAAGGTGTAAACCCTTCCCCCCACACCCACCCACTCATCCCCGACCCCCCACCCCCACCCCAGCCACCCACCCGCTGCTACCCTTTTCTAGGGACTGTGAAAAGAAACTGAGGGTAAATACAAGTCCCCAGAAGGGCGGGCTCAGGGCCGAGGGGGAGGGGGCTGCTGGTGGGGGAAGGGAGGAGGGCAGAAGGTGTGGAAGCGGAGGGGAGCGGGGAGCCCTAGGTGTGAGGCGCTGCCGCAGAACCTCAGGAACCCCTCCTCCTTCTACCAGCTCGCTCCCGCCCGCCCGCCGGGTCCTAGCGCCGCCCCTCCAAACACCGGGCGGGGACAGTAAGGATGGGTAGGAGGCTCCCTCAGCAAGCAAGGCGCCACAGAGGGTTGCTAATATTGGGACCTGCCGCAGCGGTAGCAGCAGGAGACCGCGGCACTGCTGTCACCCCGGGGGGCCCCCTTCTCACTGCAACCGGATGAAAGACTTAAATAACCCTCTTCCCCCACCCCCACTGCGCACAGCCACCCACTCAGCAGCATCCAAACGAGGGTGAGTGGCAAAGCGGAGCGCCCAGGGCACCCGGCCCTCGCGGCCAGCTCCCAGAGCGATCAGCGCGCAATCGGTTCTGAGCCCCTTACTCTAGCCCGGCCCGGGGCTCCTCTTCCCTTACACCCAGCACTAGGGGTCTTTTCCTTTGGCTGCGCCCCCACCCCAGGATAACGGTGCTGAGCGAGTCTAAGGAGTTGAGATGTCACTTCCTTAGCGACACCTTTCTCCAACCTCCAGGATTGGGAGGGGGAGGGGAAAGGGGACTAGTGGGGGGGAGTTGTGGTCTTTTTCAACGACTGTACCTGCAGTCCTCTCCCGAAGACCCGGAAGGCTCTTTCAACCCCTGACCTCACCCACCCACCTTTGCATCCCGGCTCTCCCAGGCAGCTGAGTTCCTGGATTTATAACGATTCGACTGCATATGACAAACGTCCCATCCTAAAGGTGACTGCATCAAAAAGAAAAAAAGAAAGAAAAGGACCCGGGGGAGGAGGGGTTGACTGTAGAGGAGCCCGAACTCCTACCCGCCACGACCCCTCCCTCAACCCTGCAGTGCGCCGGGGCTCCGAATCTCTGCTGGATCGGAGCAGCGTCCCCACACAACAAAGCTTGCCCTCCGCCGGCGCCCCACGCGCTCCCCGGCTCCCCTGGGCGGATAGGCCGCCGCTGGAGAGGGGCCTGTGGGCAGCGGAGCTGTGATCTGGCAGTACGTTAACAATAGCCTGCAGCCCGCGCCGCGGCCCTTTGTCCGTCCCACCGTTTCCCCGCGGCTGCGACTTTGCCCGCCCAGGCCCCGCGGAGCCCCGCGGAGCCACCCGGCTCTTCCAGAGCCTGTGGGTGCCCTTCCAAAGCGGGGAAGCGCTGTGGGTAGCTAGCCAGGCTGGGACGCCGTAGGCTCGGGGCCAGACCGCAGACTGTCCCAATCCCAGCCGCGAACTCAGCAGCCGCGGCGCCCGCCTCCACGCTCTCACCCAGCAGATCGCCGCGCCCCTGCACGGCGCCTTCAGCCTCCTGGATGCACTCGCACACAAAGAGAACTGATGCCCCAAACTTTAACTGAAAGCAAGCATCTGGGTCCCTAGACGCGGTCAGAGGGTCTCCGTCCCCACCCGCCCGGCTCTCTGCACCGTAGTCCCAGCACCATCCTGCCTCCGATCAGCAGCCAGGGAGAAAGGGAGTCCGAACCCGAGCGCGCTTAGGACCTAGCGGATCTCGCCGGGAGGCCGCCCAGTGCGCGCAGCAGCCCGGGCGGCCCTAGGCGGCACCTGCCGGACCCGCGCGCGGCGGGGCTCCAGGTTCCCGGTCTCCGGAAGCGCCCCGGAGGCCGCCCCGACAGACAACGACTCGTCCCGCCCTCGGCCAGGCGCTGCCCCCGACGCCCGGAGGGTGGCCTCTGCGGTCCTGGACCGATTCGCACTCCCACACGCGTCCATCCACCGCCTGTTGTTCTGGTATTAAACGCTAGGCACCGCGGCCGTCCTTGCAGCGGCAGCCAGAGAGCCAAAGCACTTTTCATAAAGTTTAATCCCCACTTTGCAACAACCAAAAGCTTCGTTTACTTCTCAAGGGAAGGGGAAAGCGCTATTTCAACGGAATAATTGCAAGCCCGAAAGCTACAACTGCTTTTTTTTTTTTTTAAGCGAGTGTGTGTGCTGGGGGCAGCAGGGGGGGTGGGGAGGAGATGGGGGACGCTAGGCAATTTTAGACTGTCAGGTCGCGCTCGGCCTGCGCGGTGGGCCTCGGTAGCGGCGACCATTCTCATCCCAGGCCTGAGGACTCCTCACCTTCACCAGATCGGTGTCACCTACGGTCCCTTGAAGCTAAAACACACCGTTTAGATCGCGTTCAACATCTGGCATGAAAGCATGAGAAAGAAAAATCGCCACGGCACTGGTTTTTACGACCTAGTTTAAGTGTAGTCAGGTGGGTTCACTCAGGAGTTAACTCCATGCAACAGACTCGTGCCCCCCTACCCCGCCCCTTGGAAGGGAGAAAAAATGCTCAAGGGTCCCCTATTAGGACTGTTTACTTGACTTCACATTGTTGGGACTAAGGTTGCCCTAGCCTGCACGTGTGTGCAGACACTTAAAAAGTGTGTGTAGTCACCAGTCTTGAAGTCCGCAGCCCTCGATGCTGAGTCACAAACGTTGCCCTCTGCAAGTGAACTCATTGGAATGCCCTTTAAAATTAGTTCGCTTTTTTGCACACGCACACGCAACTCACACTCATTCACACGAGAGTCGCTCAGGAAACGCACATACTATGGAAATGAAAGCGCTTAGGTTATAACTTGGAAGCGGAAAAGACAAGTCTTCCTGGGGAGCGTTCTGTCCCTTCAGAAGTCAAATTTTCCCCCAGCGTCTCAGCCCTGCTGTGTCTAAACTCTCGAGCTCCACTCTGACAGCACAATCGGTCAGCAACTTTCGCCTGTGGGGCTCTCGGACCCTCACAGTGGGGCTAAAGCACACTCGCGACGTAACCATCCAAGCAATACTTACTCCAGGGGGGAGTGGGGAGGACTAAAACCCTCATTTGGGTAAAAGATGAGCACCACTGCCTTTAGAGAACTGAATCTATTTTCAAGTTTTTAAGTAGTTAATGATTAAAGCTTTAAACTCCTGAAGTCGGTCCATTCATAAGAAACTTCTTAAACTGAACCCCATCGTCCCGCGGATCCGATGCAAAGGAACCAGGTTGTGTTCAGTTTATAAATCATGCCAACCCCTTCAACCCCCATTTGAGAAAGAGGAAAAAAAAAAAAAAAGCCTTTCATATCAGTGCCAGCAGCAGATCTGCAATTCCGGAGGCCTTTTTTTTTTTTTTTAACTCCTTACCAGAGCAAGAAGGGAGACCTTGTCTGCATGCCCCCCGCCCATCCACCACCTTTTTAGTAGTCAAAATCCCCCGGACATTTCATGGCAAGGACACTAAAGGGTTAACGGTATACCTACCAAATCGGCTGTGGTCTTTCCGGGTTCCCTGGATGGTACCATTGGGGAAAATTTCTAAGTGAAATCCAGTTCTGCAGTAGAGCTGCCTCCGCCTGAGAATCCCTTTTAAATGATCTAAGTCCGTGACTGCAGGTCCTCTGGGGAGCCCCCCTGCTTCGGACTGACCCAGGTGGTCACTTAACAAAACCGGGCTGTCCGCCGGCAACACGGGTACATTCCCAAACGGCACAGCATCCTGCACACCGAAATAGTTCCCAACTTCACCTAACGGAGCCATCAGAAGACTCGGCTTTTGGGAGCACAAGAATAAACAATAATGATGGTGTCAAATCCAGAAGATATTAGCGAGGTATATATATCCAACTCTCCTCCCTGGCTGCAGTTGCAGAGGGGGGCGGGGGGGAAAGGTTCTTTTCTTCAATCCATGAAATGCATAAATAAAAGTAATAATCTGTTTTCACTGGTACCGGGCTCAAGGTCAAACCACTGATAGTCTAAGAAACCACTACTTTATACTCACACACTGACATATTTATAAACATATCTATGTATCTCTATCGATAGATCCCCAGCTCTTAGAAGGCAGTAAGGTCTTCATCCCATCCAACTGTAATAAGGAAAAAAATCCGTAGTTTCTCCATTTGCTTTGAGATCAGAATGACCATAGCAACTTCAATACCTAGGCGTTATTATAGGGATTTTTAAGATGCACGGGCTACGTCAGAATTTACGGATCCTGATCCAGGAAGACATGCGCTGTTTTTACTCTCTAACAGACTCTGCAGACATCAGCATGAATCCTTCAAGGGGAAAAAAAAGCTCACGTTGTTGGCGAAGACAAATCTCCCCTCTCGGTCCCCACCTCCAAAAATAATAATAATAATTAAACAAAAAGGGGGGGAAAAAAACTTTAGGCATCCAAAGCTAATATCCACAATTCGCCAGAGGGTCCGCAGATGTCCATTGGTTCAGAATGAGTGGTGAGCAGCGAGCAAGGGAGAACCGCGTCCGGGAGCTCGTGTGCCGTTCTGGCTGGCGTGGAACAGGTGTTGCCCGCGCCGGCTCGCGGGGAGTGTTGTACTCAGGCGGAGCGGCTCCTCCTGCGCATCCCCCGCCTGCACGCAGAGTGGCGCAGGAAGCGGCATTGGGCTGGGTTTAAGGTAGCGCCGCGGCCTCCGCCAGCCTCCGCGCGGTCCTAGTGCCCGCCACACCTGCTGCAGTAGCAAGCACAACCTCGCCGCCCGGCCCGGGGCTCGAGCCCCACGGGCTCCGCGCCGCTCTGCCGCAGCCCCAGCAAGTCGTCCCAAAGCGCGGCCCTTCCCTAGGATAACTAAGAAACACTTCCTTCGAAAGTAAAACGCAAATCAGATACACAGGGAGTCGGGAGGCGAATACCCCGAGTCTCCTCGACTCAAAGTTTTCACCGGGAACCTAAACTCTGGCTCGCTGTGAGGTTGTAAATGGGACTTTGGTGAAGTCCGGGCTTAAATTGGGAAACCAGTTTTTACGTGGACTTTTGCATTCTAGAATAAGGTGTGATGGAGAGTGCCGGGCGGGAGGAGGCTTGCTTTGCTGGGCTAGGACGGACTTGGCAGTTTTTTCATTCGCTGCCAGGCACACCGAGGCGTAAACAATATTGCAGGTAAAACAGATTGCGGGGGGCGAGGGGAGCAGCTCTCTTTCTGTGTTTTTATCTGTCCATCTCTTTCTTTCTCGCTGCGGTTGTGTTGAACGCCTGAATGGACATATTCCGCAGGACTGGGCTTTGGGGTTATTTTGAGGTCCCGCCCCAGCCGCTGGCTCCCGCAGCAGCGCGGCCCGCAGGGGAGGCGCTAAAGAACTCTCTCAGTCCTCGCCTTTCATTTGCCCCCAACCAGTCGGTATCTTCAGGGGAGTTTGGGGTTGGAAGACGCTCAGTGAGGTGCTCTCTCCCCAGAAAGCACACCGTTTGGGGTGATCCCTGCCTGGCGTCTCCGCCTCTGCTCCGGTTCCCAGCCGAGGTTGTGTGGCTGCAGGCGCCGGAGCCGCGGCGAGCCGGCCGGGCGTTTCCTTCCTGCTCAGCCCAATGGGATCATCCGTAGAAGCCTGCGGGCCTGGTTCCCAACGTAGGACGGATTTTTGCACCCGGCCGGCGGCAGTGGGCGCGCAGCCAGAGGCCGGGACAAAGAGCCCCGCAGCCTGGGCCGCCAGGGACCCCACTGGATCCCGCCGCGAAACCGGCTCCGGCGGCCCGCACTGCGCTCTGACCGGACGAGCGGCCGCGTGCCCCGACTCCCCTAGCGGCGGCCGAGCGCCGAGCACCAGGGCGCCCCCCGACGCGCACACGCACCCTTCAGCCCACCGCAAACCCCTGGCGCCCCGCTCTTCTTTGTTCACATTGTCTTCTAAAGAGGATGAAGTTGTAGACCCTAGACGCAGCTCCTGACTGCCGGGCATGAGAGCAAAAAGCCAAGTCGAAAGCTGAGGCTGGATGCCTGCAGAGGGAGAGGAACCGGGGCCTTTTGCGGGGTAGAGGGGCGGAGCGGGGGGCGGGGGGAGAAGTTGAATCCGCCTGGGTAGTTCAGCCAAAGGCTGGGAGCAAGGCACCCGAGCGGGCTCTTCGCCGGACGCTAGGGTTTCTCGGGAAGAAGAAAGGGAGCAATGAATGTGCAGATTTCCTGGGCGCCAAGGGTGTCAATAACCTAGAGCGACCTCTCCCCTTCCTTCCTCCCCACCTCTGTGGAAGGCGTGCTCCAGGCCGGGGCTGGGGGGAGGAGAGTGCACCCACTTTCCACTCCCACACCCCTTTGCCGCAGTCTCGGGTCACTGGGTGTCCGAGGCTGCTTGCTGCGTGCGTCCTGCTTACGTTTTTATAAAGCACAAGTGCCCTGCCCCGCGGTATTTACAGTAATCATCAGCACGATGGTACCGAGAGGACTTTTAACCTTAAGTGTTCAAGTAGCAGATAAAAGAAGCTAGGGAGGAAGTGTCCCTTCTCATCAAGCACCCAACTAGCTCGCAATAATCACCCGCAGCGCTCGGGTTCCAGGACCACTTAGGCACAGTGAACTGGGTTAGTTACTTTTTAAAAAGAAATAGAGAGAGATGCACTTGATAAGGAAAGGGACGATCGGCCTGTGGATATTTCCACTGAGGACTCTTTCCACCCAGCTGTCTGCAACCACATTCTTTCAGTCTGAATTTAGACTGTCAGCCAATGAGCAACGGCCATTTCTTGCTACTGAATCCTGCAGAGTGGGTGACTGTCACTTTAAAAAGTGCTGCAGCAATGGAAGAGAGCAAAGTCGCTGATGAAGCACTTTCCCAGGTTCAGGAAGCATCAAGGGCCATCTCTCCTCTGCAGTTGGCTTAGTCCACATTCCATCTGGATCCCTAACTCCAGTTTACAGAAGCTTTTGCTGCCTCTTGCCCCTTGGAAACATCAGGTTTCCCCCTGCTTCTGTTTTAGCCATTTTTACTCTTTTTTTTTCCCACTGACCCCATCCCATTTCTGGTGTACTCGCCCCACTTACTGGCTTTCTGAAGCTCCTCTCACAGCTCTGCAATGATAAGGAGCTCCTACATGCAGGCCTTTGGCAGGTTTTACAAGTATTCTGCAATGAGAATACAGATGTGGAGTGTCCAGAGCACCAGGCCTAGCTTTCTAGAGGCACATGGTATAATTGGGTTAATAACACCTGCCTTAGAAGCTTGTTGCAAGGAATAAAAGAAACAATGCCCATAAAACAGGCAGCACTCAAGAGTCATCCAAGATGCAGTCACTGGTATTATACTGCTGCTTATAGAGTTCCCCTAGATTTCTGCCTATGGTGGAAGCAGCAGATACTCTTGGTGATTTTTAAACCCAACAGTTTATTTGACAGTCTCTTCTTGACACATTTTAATCTCTCTTGTTTTCCTTTCCTCCCCTGACCTGTGTTTTTCACCAAGTTTGTCATCTGTCTTTTCTGCTTTCAATGTATCAGTTAGGCCCAGATGGCAATAAATTGCAGAGAAGAAAAGAGAGGCATGAAGAAAAGCATTAGAATTAGAGTCAGCAGAGCTGGAATATGGCATCCCACCCTTCCTACCGCCTGTGTGGTTTCTGGTCCCTTCCTCCTCTGCCCCAGTCAGTTGCAGTGAAGGTCAATCCATGATGCGTAGATGATTTTGTAAAGTGGCTGAAGTCTTGATGTGGCACTGAGGGTTAACATGCTGGACTACAAGGTCCATTTGAACTGCAAGGTCGGCAGTTCAAGCTCAGCAATGCTCCTTGGAAACCCTACACAGGGTCACTATGAATCCACACCAACTTGACGGTACTTAGCAACAACATCATGTAAAGTGCTTGTTAACTATAAAAAGTCCTCTACAAATTTAAGGTCGTTGCTGTTAAGTGCCGATGAATTGGTTCCGATTCATAGCGACCCTGTATAGGGTATCTGAGGAGCAACTGCTGAGCTTGAACCACCGACCTTGCTGCTCAAACCAACTTCGCAGTCTAGCGCATTAACCTGCAGCACCACACCAGGACAAATTTAAGATGTTGTTGTTGTTGTTAAGTGCCGTCAAGTCGGTTCCGGCCCATAGTGGACCCTGTATAGGGCTTCTGAGGAGTAGCTGCTGAGTTTGAACCACCAACCTTGCAGATCAAACAGCTTTGCAGTCTAGCGCATTAACCCACAATGCCACACCAGGATTATATGGAAATGCAAATCATCACAGAAATCTTTCATACTTTTTCTACCTCGATAAGTGTGTGACTGCCCTCAGCCTTCCTTCCGCCTTTTCTCTACTCTTCACTCTGACCTCTCAATCTCTCGGGTGTTATATTATTGTTGTTAAATGCCATCAAGTGGGTTCCAACTCATAGCAACCCTATGTAGGGTTTCTTAGGAGCAGCTGGTGAGTCTGAACCACCAACCTTTCAGTTAACAATCCATTGCATCCTACAGTGCCACAGTGAAACTCCTCTATCTTTGGTAGGGACATTGATGAACATACGAACTTTGGTTTGAAAACCTCCAGGAGTATAGGGAAAAGAGTACGGTAGCTTGGGAGTTAAAGTAAAACCCCAGTCTGACCCCGTGGGCTAGGTGTGAACTTTAGTGTAAGAGAACAGATCTGTTGTTGGCAACATTTACTAACTGCGTTCCCAACACAATACTGTTTTTAAAACAAAATCTTCAAGACTGCCTTATGATGTAGATACTATTATTATCCCCATTTTACAGATGAGAAAACCAAGGCTTGTAGATATTAAGTAACATTATTCTATTGCCACCTGCCCACCCACTGCCATTGAATCTATTCTAA